TGTAAAGACACTCAGAGGATAAACGCTCATATAAGAATGATCTAACTCCTTTAAGATAATAAAAAAGTAACAAATTGTCATAAATGTATAAAACGAATCGAAATGTCTTTAATCCTAAAACTGATTGAAGTCCAAATTGGATCCCGGCGCGCGCGGAGTCCGGTGCGTAAAGCGTGTCGTGTTGGCGGTCCCCTCTGCGCCGAGCCAGGAAACGCGTCCAGGAAAAAGGATTTCCGATTTCCGACAAAAGAGCAGACGGGCTTGGAGATTGAAAAACGGCTCAACAGCACTCTGCCCTGGAAACGGAGCATCACCGGCCGCTGGACACGCAGCAAATAACCCCGACAAATCCTCCCAGAATAATCCGGATTGTCTAATCCCTGTCTAAATGACGAACCTGAGAGATACATGTTGAACATGAGCTTTCCTCCGCAGGCTTGTCTCATTGTGTTCGGATGCTCAGAAAGGGTTGGATTTCATTTCGTTGGTGGCGCAGGAAAAGATTTTTATTAAACTTTATCTCATAACTGGGATCTGGAATAAATGCGGGGGGACAGATTGAAGTTTCCAGGCAACTGTCGCTGGCCCCCATCTCTGAGACAATATTCAGACAGCAATTTCCCCTGGTGCATTGCTTTAATTAAAAGAGCAATTTACCTCTGTCAGCCCGCCTGGTGCCCACAATAAAAGAGGCCGATAGAAATTCGGCCCTTATCAATCCGCCATCACAGTTTAATAAAGTTTCCGCGTTAAGATCTGAGTTTCTATGGTGAATTGAAGTGTTTGACATGGAAACCAGTTCAGATCCTCCTCACTTTTCCGCCTCTTTACCTCTGGGCAAACAGCAAAGACCTGTTTCATGTTGGGAGAAGAATATTTACCTTCAAAAGCACGCCTCAGTGAGCGAGAAAAAACAAGAACATYGCATCCCTCCTGACCTTCTCCGTGTGGATTTAAGGTTATATGGCCTCAGTCTGGAGGGGTGATGAGGTCATAACTTTAAAACCATGCAGGCTTCTTGGCTTCTCTGACAACACCAACCTTATATACCTGTTTGATTTATGTATTTTACTCCACACATTGCATCTCATTTAGGGACAARTGTTAAAAAATACAATACAATAAAGCATTTAGTTTCCAAAAGATGGGCCTTCAGCAACAACAGTTCGAACACTCACAGAAATGTTTAACCTATTTTTTTAAGATTTATGTAATTTTATTACATGACAAATTCCCATTTACCTTTTTTTTAGGTAATTTTAACACCAAACTACCAAATAAACCTTACATGATGCGAATTCATTCAAGTAATAAAGTCCATTTATTTAAAATACATAATCCTCAGGTTTATGTGTTCATTATTGAATAATGAGTGTATTTATTTCAGTTACATAAAGTATATTATTTGAATTGCATAATAGGTTACCTATACAAAATAAATAGCATATATTTATTTGAATTATGTGTCATTTATAGTTATTTAATAAACCAAATTAAGCAAAATGCATAACATTAATGCAATTCATTTCCATTCAGTAACAATAATCTTAATTATGCATAACAATCAGACCACGTTGATTCAATGACTTTATTAACATTAAAGCCTCATATTAAAGACACAAAATTACACTGTATGATATATAATATATGAAACAATTCAACGGGTGTCACAATAACATCGCTTAAGGAAAACAGGAGAAATAAGTGAGTCTCTAAAATCTGAATGTGTCTTTGCTTTGGCTACTCCGATAAATATATTTTGTTACGTCTTTTGAGGTGATTATAAAGGTTCTYCTTGTTAAGTAATGAAGACTGGCATAAAAAAATGAATGAAGTAACACAATTATTCCACTCAGTTTTGTTCTCACATCTTCAGTTAATGTGTCCTTCGAATACAAATAAATAAATAAATAAATAAGCAAAATTTGTGTCTGGATACGACCTAAAATGTCTTATAAACAAGTCAAACATTAAGGTTTAACAGACGTTTTGCAAAATCTGTTTGTTTGACTCCTGGTCTCTGGTTTTATGGTGATCCCACACCTGCTTCTTCCCTCCTTATTTTTCTTTTCTTTCTCAGTTAGAAGCAAATTCACTTTTATTTCCACTTAAACCTTTCCTCTGGTATTTTTTTTTCTGTTTGTCCAATATTTGCAACATGTATTTACATAAACAGTCTGCAGCCTCAGGTCAGTGATGCAATTCAAGCTTCCATTTAGTTTCATTTAGCTCAGTGTTTTGTTTATGCTGAGTGTGTACGAGAATTTCAGAATGGTATTGTTATATTTATCATACACTCTAAAAATGAAATGTTGGATTTACTTAACCATGTTATGTTAACTGGTTCCACTTAACTGAGTTGAGTAAATTCAAAGCAATATACTCATGTTCTTTGGCTAAAAAACTGATATATTGCTTTGAATTTACTCAACTCAGTTAAGTGGAACCAGKTAACATAACATGGTTAAGTAAATCCAACATTTCATTTTTAGAGTGTTAACAACCTCCCTTTCTAAAATCGTATTTGCAGACGTCCGAAGTGTTTTATTTTCATAAAAACCCTGAAATTTTAATAAAGGTACAGAAGTTAATGGAGAACTTGACAAGTTATGTTTGGTTCATGTACAAACAAATGTCACTTAATGTAAAAATAACTACTTGTATATTTTTTTGGTATTAAGTCTGATACATTTTGAAAATACAAATAGATAATATTCCCATTAACAATGTTAGATCCACTCATTTCCTCTACATTATGATTCTTTCTCCACCTCACTTTGCCTTAAATACAAAAATAGTCAAAGTTTGTAAAATCCCAGTTAACAGAAAAGTGTCTGTGTTGTATCATTCACTGTCGTATCCATATCATTGCTTGGGCTAGCACCAGTTTAAACTGGAATCTATTTGCTGACTTTAGAAGCGAGCGTTTAGAATATAATATTGTGTAAATAGTAAAAGTCCCTCCCGCCATTTGTTCAGGCAAATATTCTTAGTGTTTGCCAAGTGAATCAACTTCAAATTGCTTTATTTGTTTTATAGCTCGATAAAAAAGTGACTTCGCCACTTTTAGTAATGAATTTCACCAGCATTCGACTCGTGTAGTACTTAGGCTTCCTTTCTCTTGTACAGCTCAGACAGTTCAGTGTMTTGGGTCAAAGAAATAAAACATCTTCCCACATCCCTCAGGTTTCCAAAGAGCAGACAGTAAAATTAATGCTCTCAAGTTGTCTGAATTTTCCATATGGGTTTGTGTTTTAAATGCCATTTTAATTGTTTTATGTAAAGAAATGTACTTTATATTAATATATAAAGATTTTTTTTATTATTAAATGTAATTATTTCTACTGAGATTGCACTTATTAAGCCCCTTAAGGGTTTTTTCAGATAATCTCCATCACATCTGTTTTGTGAAACATATAATAATGCTTTTTCTTTCAGTTTTGTTGTAAAAATAAAATTACTGAGGTAAGCTTTTYCATACCCGATCAGTTCAGGGTAATATTTTTTTATGTTTCATTTCTTTGCATTGACACCTGATCATTTTTTTTTTCAAGCTGACAAAAATCACCAAATGTTTAACATCAGAAAGAAACAAGTAGATGTCAAATATTTTATTTCAGGTGGATATTACAAACAGAAATAAACAGATAACAGATGATATATCTGTGTTTTCCATGCAGGGGTTGTGCACATGTAAGTAAAACAAATCATTACTGAAAGTTTAAAGCTACAGAAACGAAACAAAAAAAAAACAGCAGTTGGCCTTAATGCACCATTTTGACTCCAGAATATTTGTTGTTTGTTGCCATCCATCTTTTCCTCTCCATCTTTTATTTATTTTTTTTTTTTTGTCTGCGACCATGAAATCAATCAAGCCAACTCAGGATTAGGAACATAAATATTTCGTGCCTAAAATAAATAAYAAACACCCTGACAGTGACATATGTCAGCATCGTACTCGGTTCATCCTGTATGTTTTATCAGGTTTCGTCAATCTCTTCCTTTAGAACTGAATGTTTTACAGCCTAAAACAGAATAAGTGATGTAATCATCAACAAATAAATGT